GTCGCCTGACTGTAGCGGAGCCGCCTCCTAGGAACATCAATCAATCAAGAGGTCTTTCCTTGACTACGTCGTCGACATTAGACAGTACGACGACCGGACTTCGAACGCAACGAACTTCAGACAGGCACTGACCGCCATTCACAGTGGTGCCATCAACACCTTCACAGACTCCCTTTCAGTGAATAGCGTAATAGGAGTCAAACCACCACCCATAGCATACATAGAGCTCGAGTTGCTCGCGAAACCAGAGTGACCCTCGCGCAACTTCGTTCCGGATACTGTAGCAGGTTAAACTCCTAGTTATCCAGAATTGACCCCGACATACTAAACACATGTCCTGCGTGCAATGAGTCTCCGCATGACACTAACCACCTTTTTGCATGCCCAACAAACCCCACCCATCTAACACCCTTCTCCCTATGGTCCGACCCCGTCGAAACAGCTCGTTTCCTGGGCCTCCCGTTAGATGACCTCGACGACAACGAATCTGGAACTTATCACCCAAACGGGGACTAGGTAACCGTTACAACAACAACAACAGGAACTAGAGGCAAACCATCCAAATAAGGCTAAACAACTCCTTCTCAGATACTTATCCATATTTGATAAAGACGATGCCAAACCAGAAAGAACTTAAGTTGTGTAACATTTAATTAATACAGGTGATGTAAGACTAATCCGCGAGGCTCCTCGAAGCGTTATTTAAGCAAAACGCGAAGTTGTAAGCCAGGCCATACGTGAAATGAGCGAAAGCGGCGTAATTGAACCATCAGCAGGTCCATGAAGTTCACCTATAGTACTTGTGAAGAAGAATTCTGGAAACATGAAGTTCTGTGTGGCCAATAAAAGTTGAATGTTGCAACGAACAAAGACAGTTATCCCCTACCTAGAATCAGTGACACGCTGGGCTCGTTATCAGGCACAAAATGGTTCTTACCACTTGATTTGAAATGTGGTTATTTGCAAGGAGAGGTAAACGAAGAAGACAAAGAAAAGACGGCTTACTGTGTTGGAGATGGTCTATGGCAATTTAATGTAATGCTCCTTGAATTATGTAACGTTCCTGCTACCTTTGAGAGATTTATGGAGCACTCCCAAAAATTTACATGAATTGTGGGGTTTCCTTGGACTGTGCACTTATTATCGATGATTCGTTCCAAATATTGCCATCGTAGCCTCCATGAACTCACGAAAAAGAACAGAGTTTTTTAATAGGCTAAAGAACAGGAAGTGGCTTTCCAAACTCTGAAAGGGTTGAAGGGCTCGGCTTTAGTATAACGTCCAAGGCTTTCGGGGATAAAATGGGTATGGGCGGATAGAGGAGATCCTCCAGATCAAGAATATATATAGATATAGCCGCGGGAAACTTATAGTTTTCGGGATATTTACGTTTAAAATTTCAACTATTTAAAGTACGTATTATTGCGGTTTAAATTGAGTTATACACTTATATTTTTCACTTTTACATCCACTAACACTTGACTAATTCGTTTTTAGAATTTTTTTTTATTAGATGCTGCAAAAATAGCTTTATTTCAATATTTAAATCATTCTTGAATTTTACTAATTTTGACAATAACATAATGGGTGTGAATGTCAAAACACTAGTGTTGCCAATCATATATATTTTGTAAACGAAGAAAAATAAAATAAACAGAGATTATACCCTAGATACAGGAAACAACTCAAAAAGAGGTTCTGCGCGAAAAATATTTTAATACACCTCGGTTTTGGACCGACCAGGGCTATTTTTTTTGAAGCGCGGCCGAAGCCCGCCTACGCAAAAAGAAGTTCTGCGCAAAAAAACCTTGATACACCCCGGTGTTGGATAGAGCAGGGTTATTTTTTTGAAGCGCGGCCGAAGTCCGCCAACGCCAAGAAGAGTTCTACGCGAAAAGACTTGTTACATCCCGATGTTAGACCGACCAGGATTATTATTTTTGAAGCGCGGCCGAAGGCCGCCAACGCAAAAAGAAGTTCTAAAAGAAAAAGTAATATTGTCATAGAGGGTATAACGTAATACTTAACATCAATGCTCTGTAATAGTTTATTTCTCTAGGTTTCGAATTCCTGTATTTGGGGTATTATCTGTTTTAATTTCTTTCAGTTCAATTACAAAAGATGTCGATAAGGTAACACTGGTTATTTGACATTTTGCAACCCTTTTGTTATTGCTAGAATTAAAAGCATTTAGCAATAATTTAATTATTGAATTAAACTATTTTTGCACTATATAATATGAAATAAATGTGTACAAACGAATTAGAGTGTTAGTGGATATAAAGTGGAAAATATAAGTGTATAATTCATTTGAAATCGAAAAAATGCGTACTTTAAATAGTTGAAATTTTCAACTTTAAACGTAAATATCTCGAAGAATATGAAATTCCCGCGGCTATATCTATATATATTCTTGATCTGGAGGATCTCCTCTATCCGCCCATACCCATTTTATCCCCGGTAGCCTGGGACGTTATACTAAAGTTTTCCCGGTCCCAGAATCAACGATTATTTTGGATACGGATGCTAATTTGTTTGCAGTAGGAGGCGTTCTATCACAAGTCACCAGTGCGCAGATGGATTGAAGCCGTACTGCGCACTAGGGTGGCGGAAGCCGCAGTAGGCGAAACTAAAATTCGTCTGGGTACAACAAGAGGTTGCCCACAGGGCGGAGTGCTATCCCCCCTACTTTGGAGCCTAGTTGTAGACTTGTAGACGACCTCCTTGAGCGGCTGACTAGCAATGGAATCCGCTGTCAGGGATATGCGGATGACATTGTTATCTTAGCTAGGGGAAAATTTGAAGACACACTCTGCGATATCGTTCAGAGGGATTGGGACTGAAAGGCGGTGGTGTAGGGGGGTGGCTTAAACATCAACCCCGCTAAAAACTACAATCATTCCCTCACCAGACGGAGGTCACTGTCGGGCCTCAGGAATATATCTCCTGGACGGCGCAGAGTGGTTGAGATGTCCAGCACGGTCAAGTATCTGGGACTCACGCTGGATTCCACACTGCGATGGAATCAGCACGTGGACCAGACCCTAACCAAAGCTACAAAAGCACTCATGGTGTGCAACCGACTTGCTGGAAAATCCTGGGGGTGCTCCCCAAGGACTATCAGGTGGATGTACACCATGATTGTGAGACCGATTATGTAGGACTTAAACTGTCGAAGCTGCAAAGACTTGCCTGCATCTGCGCGTCGGGAGCAATGCGAACGTGTCCGACCGCAGCACTAGAGGTCATGCTAGAACTTTCACCGCTACACCTGGTAATAAAACAGACAGCCAAACGAACTCTGCTCCAAATGACAGCAGAGGGAGCTGGCAAAGGAAGGTAATCTCACCCAGCAGATGAAAGAGCTAAGTGAGGAAATACCACTAGCCCTTCTCCAAGGGATAGCATTACCAAAGTAGTAAACTTCAGCAGGAAGTTCCAAGTAACCCTTGGCAGCAAATCTGAGTGGAAGGACCTGCACTAGACCTGCTGCTAAAGGTTGCCACATCAAGTGGTACACCGACCGGGTCGAAAACGGAGGAGGGATTGGTGCAGGGGTCGCTGGGCCACCAAACTCTCATTCCCATGGGAAGTTTCCCTAGCATATTCCAAGCCGAGGTCTATGCTATAAGTCGGTGTGTAGGAATAAATCTCCAGCGCAACTATCGCATAAAAGTATCGCTATACTCAGCGATGTCAGTCGGCACTAAGAGCGATCATGCCTATGAGGTCAGATTCTCTCTAGTGATGGAGTGTATAGAACGGCTGAACAGCCTATCTGAGCACAACCGAGTGCACCTTATTTGGGTGCCTGCCATAGGGTATAGCTGGGAACGAACTAGCCGACGAGTTAGCTCGCTCTGCAGCTCTACAAGAATGGTAGGGCCGGAACCATACTTAGCGGTTGGTCCACATACCATCAAAGAGTTCCTCCGCAGGAGGAAAGATCAGACAGGGAGATACACTGGCAACAACTCCAGGCATGCACCATGCCAGACTGCTAATGGGGGTTACGACCTCAAGCGGTTCAATGCCATAATTAATCTCCCAAGAAACAAATTCCGGCTACTGGTAGCGTTCTACACCGGCCACTGCAGGCTCAAGAAGCATCTCTTTAACATGGGCATAGCCTCTTCTGCAAACTGCCGGTTCTGCGACATAGAGCCGGAAACCCCGAACATCCGCTGATGAACTGCACAGCAGTCTGCAGACGCAGAATCAAGGCCCTGGATCCATGTTTCCACACAGGATTGTATCGCCTTTTTGGAATTTGGAATTTATCAATATGCTGGCCTAGATGACACGATATGACTTAGGGAGGGCACAATAGACCGTAGTCGCGGTGCATACCTCAAAACTAATCAATCAATCAATCAATCATCACAAGTCATTGGTGGGCATGAGAAAGTGGTTGCGTATTACAGACAGATGATAGCAAAGGACAAGAAAGAACTTTTATTTTCTTCCAACAAACCTTTTGTTATTGTCAATTTGAAGAATGATATAAATATTGAATAAAGCTATTTTGCATCATATAATATAAAATAAATGTCTAAAACGAATTAGTGTAGTTTTAGTGGATATGAAAGAAACAAATATAAGTGTATAATTCATTCTAAAAGCAAAATAAATACCTTATAAGTGACATTTTCAACTTTAAACGTAAATATCTCGAAAACATAAGTTCCCTCGCTATATCTATATAGATTCTTGATTTTGATCCGCCCATACCCATTTTATTCCCGAAAGCCTGGGACGGTATACTAAAGTATTCCCTACATAAGTATGTAAAACAGCGCAAGTATCTATTTTCACATATTTACTGAACATACACGAATATATCGGAAATGCTCGGATATTTCTTTAAATCCGGATTACTTTAGATAGGCATTCTTACTTTCTCACTATAATGATATAAGGATAATATACCTTAAAAGTATTTGTTTACTTTGATTATATATACATAATTTTTATTAGCAAGTGTATAAAAACGTTACTACCTTACGCTTATTCGAATAAGTCTACCGATACAGTTTATTTTTTTGATAAGTATGATAGTAAACGAAGCTAATTGGACTCAAATAACAGCACTTTTCCACCTTAACACAAACGAAAATAAGAGCGATTCCTTTTATACGATTTGTATTAATTATTGCTTCCAAAAGTAAACTTCCGATTTCAAAGGACTGAGTTTGTATATGCATGTAAGGTTTTTAGAAAATACTGCGATTTCTGAAAGAATACATTCATTCTCTATATACAATGTTTTGTCCTCACTCTACTGAATTAATATAAGTAGAAGTATAGGTCTCTGTTACACTTTTACAAAGTTAATATGATTCCAGCACATGGAAAACAAAATAGGTTATACACTGAATGACTTCTTACAAACTGTTTCAAACCTCCAAAACTTTTACCCAGTTTAGTGTACTTAGTTATATAAACATATTTTAATATCCTTAACCTTATAAATTTTGAAACACGCAAATGCATTTAGATCAGGCAAGATTAAATGAACGCGTCATCATTAATGTATTCTATTTAGTGTGTGTATGCACTATGCAATTTTATTTTCAATATCAAAATCGCCAATATGTCGCGATTTTTAAAACATGTAACTAGCAATGGAGATTCTATACCACTTGCCAGTACGACTGATCAATCAGATCCCATGTCATCTGGTTTTACTATACCGGTATAGAACCCATTCATGGTCTGTCATCTCGACGATATAACCAAAAGGGATCGGTGGTAAATTTTAGAATGGCATTCCTCATATTCGGGTTGAAAGGGTATGGACGGCTCGAGGAGGTTCGCAGATAAAAATGGGAAAACTTTAGTATACCGTCCCAGGCTACCGGGGATAAAATTGGTATGGGCGAATAGAGGAGATCCTCCAGATCAAGAAGATATATAGATATAGCGCGGGAAACTTATAGTTTTCGAGATATTTACGTTTAATGTGGAAAATTTCAACTATTTAAGTACGTATTTTTCGATTTCAAATAAATTATCACTTATATTTTCCACTTTATATCACATAACACTTCACTAATTCGTTTGTACACATTTATTTTACATTATATAGTGCAAAGATAGTTTAATTGAATAATTAAATATATGTTAAATTCTATTAATTCTGACAATAACAAAACCGTTGCAAAATGTCATATAACCAGTTATACCTTATCGACATCTTTGTAATTGAACTGAAAGAAAATGAAAACAGATAATACCCCAAATACAGGAATCCAAACCTAGAGAAATAAACTGTTAGCATTGATGTTAAGTATTATGTTATACCCTCTATGACGATATTACTTTTCTTGTAGAACTTCTTTTCGCGTTGGCGGCTTTCGGCCGCGCTTCAAAAATAACCCTGGTCGATCCAACACCAGAGTGTATCAAGTTTTTTGCGCAGAACTTCTTTTCGCGTAGGCGGCCTTCGGCCGCGCTTAAAAAAAAATACCCTGGTCGGTCCAACCGGGTGTATCAAGGTTTTTTTGCGCAGAACTTTTTTTGCGTTGTCGGCCTTCGGCCGCATTTCAAAAAATAACCCTGGTCGGTCCAGCACCGGGGTGTACCAAGGTTTTTGCGCAGAAATTATTTTTGTGTTTGTTCCTGTATCTAGGGTATAATCTCTGTGTTTATTTTATTTTCTTCGTTTACAAAAATATTAGGGCAACACTGGTGTTTTGACTTCACAACCATTTTGTGATTGTCAAAATTAATAAAATTAAAGATGATTTAAATATTGAAATAAAGCTATTTTGAGCTTCTAATATAAAAAAAATGTCTAAAAACGAGTTAGTCAAGTGTTAGTGGATATAAAAGTGAAAATATAAGTGTATAATTCATTTCAAATCGCAAAAATACGTACTTTAAATACTTGAAATTTTCAAACTCTCGAAAACTATAAGTTTCCCGCGCTATATCTATATATATTCTTGATCTGGAGGATCTCCTCCATACCCACTCGACTGCCTCTATGGGGTTATTTGTTTGGTACAATTGTTACCACTGCCTAAGATATCTGTTATCTTTTTCCGTATAAATAAACCAATTGAAATTCTCACATAGTATTGTATTTTTAATAATTTACAATTTTATACATTACAGTTAAATTTTTCTTTCTATTTGTACAAACTTATATATGTATATACGTCACAAACAAAATTTGCTTTCTAACAATAATTAAAAAAAAATTAGTAATTATTTCAGAATAGAGTTCTAATATCTGAACTTTATACATTATACATTACAAACTTAATTTTACATTATCATTCTTTTTGTTAAAAGCATCATAATATGATTTATAGATAGTTAATTTTGATTGTTAAACTTTCATAGTTTACAATAATAGTTACATTAATTTACTTATTACAAACAAAGAATTAAAATTATTTTCTTTTGTATTTGTTAAAGTATCTACTTATCTTACTTATTTTAAAAATAAATGCATGTACGTTTGTACCAAATCATATAAAAAGGTGAGAGCTACAATATTTAACATAGTGATTAACATAATATGTTATTACGGTGGTTACCTTGATTACACGTTAAGAAAAATCTAAAATTGTACTGAAATTTTAACGTTGTCTTCTAACCGTAACATTTTGTCTGGTTATCTTAACATTGTTTTGGTAACCAAGCAGACGATGAATGGGTTACCTATATTAAGGTAACCAAACAAAATGTTAAATTCTCAGCTGATGACATTTTCTACCAAACACAAGATTTAAGCTATATATGAAGAAATCATCCACTCTCAGTTTTGTGTTAAAATGAATCAAACAAAACAATTTTTAATAACAATTAAAATAAATAGAGTATATACGTATTCAACAGAGAAAATACAATATGGCAAGTTATTATTAAATTATTCATACTTGTATATTACAATTATATAATATATAATATATATGGCCTCAATATATAATATAACAACTAGAATAGTTATATAATTTAATTGTAACATTACCTCACACAAGGACAAAGCGCAGCAAACATGGCGAGATACGTATGGGATGGAAACCGGGCATCTCATAGTAGACATTTACGAATTCTTGATCGTCCCCTCTTACTAGACATTTACGTATTCTAGATCTTCTCTGCGTTTAAATGGCAGCGTTGACTGTTACCTTCCGAAAGGTGGTATGCTCCAAACGACACAGCATATTTTTAACCTGCGTACCTCCCGCGCCGAACCACCAGTTGAATTAGAATTAGAATTTGTATGAGGTTACACCGCGATCTAGGATCTATTTTGCCCCCTCCTCTATCACATGTATTCCCAAAGGCCCAGCCCTCTATGAATTCCAGAAACTTGCTTGACGCCACTGAGGTAATGTGATCCCTGTCCAGATAAACGTAACCGAGGTCCTTAAGTCTGCGTCTACAATCTGCTGTGCAATCTAGAATTAGCTGTCTTGTGTTTCCGGCTCATTGTCGCAGAACCGGCAGTTTCCAAAAAGCTATGCCAATGTTTGACGGTGTTTCTTGAGCCGGAATTTGTCTCTGGAGAGGATGATCATAGCCTAAATTTTAGCTAGGTTGTACCCTCGCAACAACAGCTTAGCATGGCGCATACCTGTTGCTTGCTGCCAGGGAATATTCCTACTCATGCTCTCCTCCGTGCGGAGCAGCTCCTTTATTGTATGGACTCCACCACGATGCATGGTTCTGGCCCTATCAACTTAGAAGTCGCAGCAGTGCCGGCTACCTACCTCCAATGCCCTCCGGTTTTCGAGCCGTCAGTGTACACTTAATAGGGCTGCCCTAAACAGTAGATCGAGTGTGCAATAACTCCAGTCCACGTTGCTGCCGAGAGTAACTTTAAACTTCTTTGGTTAAGTTTACCCTTTTGTAACGCCTTTTTGGAGAAGGGCAGTGGTGCATTTTCTTCTAAAGCCTGTTGAGACGAGATTAACTTCCTTTCTCATACCCCTCTGCTGACATGAGCAGCATAGTATGCTTCGCAATCTGTTTAATCAATAGGTGGAGCGGTGTGAGCTCCAGCATGACTTCAAGTGCTGCGGTGGGGCAAGTGCGCCTTTCCCAGAGGCGCAGACGTAGTCAAGTTTTTATAGCTGCGATAGTCAAAGAACTATCGAAGTCTGCGACGCTTACGATGCCCAGACCACCGCTCCTATATATAATGATAGCCCCACGATTATGGTAAACAGCCACCTGATGATACTTGGCTTGCAGCACCAAGATCAGTCGGCCAGGCGTCTGCACACCATAAGTGCCTTTGTGGCATTAGACAGTGGTATCTCTAATGTGAGACCTAAGTACCCTTGACACCGAACCTCATTGTTCGTAAGCATCTCCAGGAGTTCATTTACTACGAGGCTCCATAGAAGGGAGGAAAGTACGAGGCCCTGAGGGCAACCCACTCGTAGTACCAAGACGTATCGTGCTCTCTCCCACAGTGGTGGGGTTCGAAACTCACATTGTCAATGCTAAAATTACTACTTATAATAAATACAAAAAAAGACTTACTTCTCGCGTTGCAGTCCGGGCTGCCCCACTCTGTGTGCGTTGGCGTCGCAGCCCAGTATAAGGGGGGCTTATTGCTCCTGCAGTATTCCAATAGATGGTGAATCGATAGGGGGGTTGTATGCTGTAATTGTCTCCCCTGAGAAGTAGGCCGCTGCAATGACGAAGTCTAAACAGGGGGCTTATTGCTCCTGCAGTATTCCAATAGATGGTGAATCGATAGGGGGGTTGTATGCTGTAATTGTCTCCCCTGAGAAGTAGGCCGCTGCAATGACGAAGTCTAAACATTCCTTGTCCTTACCCGCACCGCGACCAGATCCTGCGTTAGAAACTCTGAAATACAAAAGAAATCAAGATCATTCCTAACCACTATATAAGAGATCGCAGATTATCTTGCTTGTTCTTGTATTGAGATCCATGACGTCTCCTAAGAGGAACCTATTCGCGATAACAGCCGAGGCTGCCCTCGAGTGGTGTTGGTTCACCTAGGCAACTTCTATAAGGGCATTGGCGGTCACAGGATTGGTTCCAAGAAGGACACGCCCGATCGAAGCTCCACAAATTGTTCTTCGCAATGTCCACAAATTTGCTTATTTGGCAACGGAGATATGGGGGTGAGGCAAAAGTTTTCCAATTTGATCAATCAAAATGCTTGTATCGTCTTGATACCTGCAACAGAATTGTGTGGGAATTGCTCTATTAGTTGTTTTTATATTAAAATTATAATATATATTAATATTATCAGTTATGATTATTCATAATTGTATATAATAATATTGCCGATTTATGGACTCAATTACATATAACATCTAGATGAGTTACACAATTTACTTACTTGTATTCATTAAGCTGTCATTACCTCACATAACAACCATGGCGAACGGCGTGTAGGATTGAAATCGGCCTTCTCATAGTAGACATTTACGAATTCTTGATCCTCACCTCATAGTTGATATTTACCTATTCTTGATCTTCAGAGATGACAGTCCTCTGTGTATAAATAACAGTGTTGGCCGTTAAATTCCGCAAGACGGTGTGCTTCTACCGACACAGCACATTCTTGGCCTTCTCGACGGCACACCCAATGTTGCGTTATTCGACGGTACACCAACAAAATGGGAAGTGTTGAGTGTCATCCA